CCTTTGATTTTTGAGACAAACATTTAATCTTTAGACCGCTAAACCATTGTTCAGTGTTGTATATGTGTAACTTCAAGAATGAAGGTCATAAGTTCGATCCCTGAAAGGTAGTCAAGGATAAACACTATTGGGGTTGAGGTCTTGTGTTAGGATGAAACATGTTTCCAGTACTTCCTGGTTCTGAATAATGATTTCACAAAGATCAATCCGTGATATGAACCATGAATAATTTGAAAAATGGTTATCAGTTGGATAATAAAATTTGAAGTATATGATGACCAGATCTAAATTATCTTGCAAACGATTTTTTAAAAACAGTACTGTACCACTGTAGAAATTTATTATATTAACTTAGCTCTTCCTTTCCGTAGAAATTAGAACACATAAAATTGGAAGCAAAGACGAATAATGGCTAGCAGTGGAATCTGGGACGCGCGTCTCGTCCTATCTGGGATTCGTCAACTGGATGTACCTTCATCTCACAATTGATGTTCGCTCTGGGACTCGAATCCAGTACCGTTCACTTCAAATGTCATCGAGTCATCCACTTAGCTACCGAGTCCTGATAGCCACATGCTTGTGAGATGGTGTGAATTTAAATTCACTTGGTATTGTTTTGCTTGAATCTTTCGATTGATGTTTAGAACTGCAATTGATTAGTCTCTTATTGGCATATGTGCATACTGTGCGTATTGCCACGATATTGCCTTAATTTACGAGCATTATAAGCAAAGATAGATAATGGTTAGCAGTGGAATCCAGGACGCGCGTATCTTCCTATTTAGGACTCGTCAACTGGATGTACTTGCATCTCACAATTAATGTTTACTCTGAGAATCGAACCCAGTACCATTCGTTTCAAATGCGATCGAGTTATCCACTTAGCTACCAAGTTCAGATAGCCACTTGCTTGTGCTATGGGGTGAAGTGATTGATCGATTGCGGTCCTAAAGATCACTGGGAAGATTCAAGTAAAACAATACCAAGTGAATGTAAAATTGGGTTTGGTAGTTATTTTTTTATTAGATGTCTATTGTTTATACGTCACTTGGATGAACATATACTTTGCATAATCAATGTTAGATCTAGTGCATAACAAAAGCTCACTACAAATGCTATCGCTGGAAGTCGCTTAATTTATTGCTAAAACAGTAGCCCAGCTGTCCGTCAGCATTGTCCAGAGACTTATTTAGCAATAAAACTTCTTTCCTATACACCGAAATCATTCAGTCAAATTTTGTCATAGCAAAAAAATCTTAATTTTTATCTTCTCACTGTTATGAATGGAAATATGGTTATAGAATAACTATTAAACTTGTTTAGAATGTGTACTTTACCAATCATAAATAATACTATGATAAATAAAATGAGAATTCCAGACAAATTTTACTGCAGTGTTTGAATTGTACTTAGTACTGGAATCCCGGACGCGCGTCTACCCTTGAAAAATCCCAGGTTTTAATCCATCAGGTCTTACCGCTCACCTTCGATTTAGATTGGATTTAGCGTTTCTATCTTCATTAAGAGTCAAAGGACTTACATCGGTTTGTCATTCAGGTTGCTTGGAGATTGAGAGTAACTGAAGGCCTGTTGAAATGTCTCCTAACGTGTTCTGTCCATCGGTTCAATCACCTGGAATGGTAGTGAATAATAGTCCTGTCTCTTTTTGAAATAGTTTCAGTAGCATCCGGATTTTTTATACTCGTTTCTTTGATAAGTCTGGACAGTTGTCTACGGTTAAATATCGCTTCTGCTTTTCCCATCTCTTCTGTTTTCGCCACCCACCATTGCTCAAGATCATAACGTAGGCTTATTATCAGCCCATGTCTAAGCTGCTTCTGCGTTTCATAGTGTTCAAAAATAAACGGGATGCATTTATAAGCATCTATCAGTGCCATAGGCGCCGCTGAATTTCATTGATTTCCCCTAGCCTTTTGATTTAAGTTACTGGTAGGAATCACAGTTGTTTGCACAACTTTTTAAATATCGTACCAAACTACACCGGGATGGATATCGCTTCCGCGACTGACTAATTCCCTCTCTAGTTGTTTCCAAAATTTTCTTAACTTTTTTGTCAATAAGTTGAACTCTAAGGGGGTTTTCTTGCTATGGCTTCTCTACGTCCGTTAAGATGCAGACAAATACGTGCTCAAACTAGAGTCTCATCTAAGTCTGAACATGTGCTCCAAAATGTGTGACGGTTTTCAGTCAAGCTCCTTCAACGATGGCTAATGATATGGCTAATAATATGATCTATTTGAGCCCATTGATTGGTCGATTATGTCGGTCACTACGTTAGACGATCTTCTTACTTATGTTCAAAGTTAGTGTTTTCCAAAAATAGACAGTTATCTGAACATCATCGATTCCAGAGTCTCAGTTAATAAAGATTATTGTCCTTTCTGACACAAGATTTGATCATTATTTAATCTTCAATATATGTAATTTAAGGTGACGTTTGAGGAGACAAGAAATAACATTTCGTGAACTCGAATCACTAGCATTGTTGGCGCGTTGTGACCAAGATTTACAGGGAGGGTTTGTCTTGGGCATGGTACAATTATTATGATGCGATGGTCAAAAAGATGAGTTCATGGGCTGATAAAAGTTTTATAGCAATTGTCGCTTCCCGGTTGTCCACACAGTAAAACGATATTTCCTCTTGGGGAACCTGAATAAGTGGTGGTCTTAGTTACCTAGGAGCGTGACCAAAGAGCCTAAGGACAAATACCCGAGGCCGGCCGTGCATCGCCTTTTTATCGGAACTGTTTTTTCTGTTAGCCTCGCAGTTCAAAAGGCCTTGCCGTCGGAAACAGAATTCGTGGAGTAAGATAAAACATTTTTAGGTTGACCCTTTCCAAACCCTTCCTTCCGTTGTGAGAACGCATCATTGCTGCAGGTGCTGGTTGTCCGGGAGAGAAACCTTACTGCTGTCACACCCCTAATCTGTCAGCGGTAGGACTTCGCTATTGGACCTGAATTCGCCGTTTTAGTCTCACCGTTCTGCAAATAACCTGCATGACATGATATGACACATGGGAACATGTGTTCCAGCCAATATGGCTCATTTGAGTCACCACGTCTGGCAAGCCTGATCTCCACTTTAAGGTGGCAGAAACTGGGAGTAGTTACCGTAGGAAGAGGACATTGTGTACATCACTTTATGAAATGCTTTTAGTTGTAGCTGGGGTGGGTATAGAAGTACCAATATTCAATAAAATTAAGCCGACAAATCTCAAACAAAACATGATTCATATCAGAACACACAAGAAAATACGTGGACGATGAAACGTATCGAGTGGAATATTTTACCATCAAAAATATCGATTCTGAAATTATTGTGACCTACTGATTACAATTTTACTGCATATTATTACTACTGTTATTATGCTACAATTAAAATCTTATTGTAAGGAAAGCCATTTAAAGATAATTTTAAAGTAATATTTGTTTCCTAATATATACAAAAGATTCAAGCATATCTAAATTGATAAAAGATGATTACAGTTAGCATATCAAAGGTGTTTTTTAAACCATATTGAACTGAAAGAATAAATGTTAAACGCGTTGTATGATGATAATCTATTTTGTACGGTGAAATAAGATCAATCAAAATATTCAGATTCTTCTTGTGAAGTAATAATAATAAGGTTTTTGTAATTCGGTAATTTGCCAATATGAATACTCTTCGTTTTAAACTTGCCTCAGTTAGAGAACCGGTGAATGACTGTATTACCATTAAATTGTAACTTCTTAATGATTTATACTAGTGGTGCAAAAGAGAAAAACTGCAATTAAAGTTATCATACTCTTGGCAATCATACTAAAATCCTGTTATTAGAAGGAGTTTTATGGAGAATGTTTTTAGACATTTCAATAGTTGAAATCATGAGTTAATTGAAGCTAGACCACCATGGAAAACCTGGAAGCACTGGACGGCCGTTTCGTTCAAGTTTGGAACTCCTCAACAGTACACATCCACGATCCCACTCCCCACGGGATTCGAATCCATGATCTATCAGTCTCCTGTTACTCGATCAGTATTCACAGTTACACCTTCAGTTAAATTTTAGTAAACTCAAGGTATCATGTAGTAGTCATTAGTGAGTGACTATATTTTTAAAACCACATTCTCTCACTTAAATCCATCCTGTTACTAGTATGTACAAAGTTATTAATAAACGTAAAATATATTTTTTTTAAGAAAAAGTACATCGTCGCATTATCATTTTTTTCCTAATTACTGGATTACACGAGATCTTTATGCAGAAATATTGATTTACATTTCATGTATGTAATATTAATGCACAATTCAATGAAAAGTTATAAAAGACAGTGACTACTCATCTAAAATGATCATATTATTACAACTATTGTACATGATATACCGTTAAATTAAATTAAGTTGCCTGGTAGCTAAAAGATTATTGCTCTTTCCAAAATACAATCAACACTGATAAATCGATAGTTGAGTTGTGTACGAATCATTTAAATTTCACTAAGTTAATTACCTGTTTGTAAAGTATGTGGTGATGAGAGCTGTAAATAATAAGACAAATATAAAAATCAAATTTTCCCCATTACAGCAATTTTTTTAAAATTATGCTATCCCATTACTGATTACTGTAATCATCTATTAAGCTTTATCATTTCAGTTCTACTTCATTTATAATAAATCATTTATGCAAGATAGTAAGCTAATAGGCTAATATCAACATTTTCCATTATTATTTCAGTAACTGAAATGAAAATATTTAAATAGCACACATAAATTTTGTTTATAAAATATATACAAAAAAAAGTTCTTAAAGAAATGGGCGCCAATAAATCTGACATATCAGTAGTATATATATATATATATATATATATTTCATCGAATAAGAGAACAGTATTTGAAATAACTGATGAATCATTGTAAGATTGAATTATATTTCACGTAACGGATGTAGAATTACTCATTAGTAGTAATCTATGTATTGTATTTTTCTCAACAAAAAAAGAAAAAAAACATAACTTAAATAAAGATGATTTTATCTATAACTCAAAACAGGAAAAGTTACAAAAGAAAAGAGGATTTTTAAGACTAATATTGTTAGATAAGGTACTTTTGATAATTCTCCGTCTAAAATATAATAAGTTTTCTTTTTCAATAAAAAGAAATGTAATCTATAACCAATAAAAAGAAACGTACTTCTATTTCATCATGTATGGATGTATGTATCAAGTCATGAAATACATTTTCATTTAATTCTCACTGAAACTTCACCTTTTGTTTAGTTATTTATTCTATTGATGGTTATGGAATTAATTGACATTAGAAAAAGTATATATATACAATACAATTCATTATCAGTAATATATAGTATAAAGTTGATCCATTTTGGCTACAAAATACAACATTTTGTATTGAATTTTCTCTTAGATCATTAGACAAATACTACAATATAAATGAATGATATCATTAATAAACAGTAGAATTGAATGGAAATATATTTAACATTATTGAAAATGAATGCGAATCATTTTGTTTAATGATTGTTCTGGATCATTTACAAAAAGAAAAAAAACCCAACTGAAATAATTTACACTTATAAAGAAAATTATCTGAAATATAACTGTCATTTTAAAATACCAACCTCATTAGTGATAAACTATAAATAACAACTTATCTTATCTACTGATGTTTACCAGGATTAAATTTGTTACCATTGAAGTGCTTTTTATGAATAAAATTTAAGACAGTAATATACCTTCATAATGAAGAATTGAAATATTACCTAAATCATATTATGTTTGTGATTAATGTGTTCGTTGTAAGGCGATTTGAAAGTAACTAGCGACACAAGAAATATCTTCAATAGTATATTTTTGTGGCTGAAATCTCCAAACTTTAAAGCCAATCAAATCTATTGAACTATTTGAGAAATTGTCCTAAAGTTATTTAATCACTTTTAACTTTAATGAAAAATGTAAAATATTATGAGTATGACTTTATAGAATCAATTTGGTTATGTGACTCATAAAAACTATATGATCGTATGAACAAATATTAATGTTTGAACTTAAGTAGTACATTGGTAAGATAACTTCTATTGACTTGTGAGAACTCTTCACTGACTAATTCATAATTTCACCAGTTTAATAGCTTATGGCTACTACGTTGAAAAAATAACTAAAAATGAGTGAATTTTAAAAACCACCAGTTTTAGTTTGACTTGTCTGAACGATATAAAAAGAGCTTCATTATAATCAAAGATGGATGATGGCTAGCAGTGGAATCCAGGACGTGCGTCTCTTCCTATTCGGGACTCGTCAACTGGGTGTACCTGCATCTAACAAATGATGTTCACTCTGGGACTCGAACCCCGTACCGTACGCTCAAACATCGTCGGGTTATCCACTCAGCTACTGAGTCGTGATAGTCACCTGCTTGTGCAGTCCTAAACAACAATGGGAATATACAAGAAAACAATAACGAGCGAACTTAAACTTCACCTCATCGCACAAGCAGGTGGCTATCAGTACTCAGTAGCTAAGTGAATAACGTGATGACGTTTGAAGCGAACGGTACTGGGTTCGAGTCGTAGAGTGAACATCAATTGTGAGATGCAGGTACATCCAGTTGACGAGTCCCAAATAAGACGAAACTTGAGTCCTGGATTCCATCGCTAGCCACCATCCACCATTACTTATAAAACTTAACATATTATTTTACATAACGATTGTAATTGATACAGCTTCGTTTTAAAATCTACACATATGAGCTTGTATTATCTTTTGCATTATTTACTATTGCATTATGTTTATGAACATAATTTTATTTTAGTAGATCATTCAATAGTGGTTGATATAATAAACGAATAAAAGCATTACTCAACATTTTATTCTTAAATATGTTTGAGTTATTTCAAAGGTCATTACAATTTACTCAAATGTCACTCCTAACCGAAAATTTTAATTATTCAAATAAACGTAGTGTAAAATTTTCGAACCTACCACGAGTTTATTCTCAACATCACTATTTTACATGAAAAATAAAATGGTTTACTACAATGAGTTACGGGATAAAAGTTGGTATATATGTGGCCAACAGTTGTTCATTGAATAACTAGTTAAAATGCAGTTTCTTAGCTAAGCATGAAGCAGTGTATTCCAGGGTCAGTCAGTGAGTTTAGCGTAAATGTAACCCTCACATCCTGGCTTCTTCAGTTGGCGTAAGTGGAACAGAGTTCAGAAACGTAGGATAGTTGTTGAATTTCGATAATCTAAATTTTTAAGAAATTACTAAACTTTCTGCCCCTAATTTTCTAAAAACATGCTCTGACTAGTACAAGAGTCAAGGAAATTATCAAAATGACTGATATACAGAGATATTTTGATTTAAACAATCTTCCTATGTGTAATTGCAGATTATAGTGATCTATTAGCAGATTCTTCAAAATTTTGGAGTCAAAGTTTTCAACATAGAGAATTATATTTGATAAACTTAACCTTCTGTAAAATAGATAGCTGAAAGGTTTTACTAATATAAAGTATTAATCCAGTGTTCCGTTATGTCTAACACTATTGGGATAGAGAAATGCTTAACTGGCTTGTCCGATTCGACGACACGTAGTACAAACCAAAGATTGGTGATAAGAATTTAATTGACTGCCAAATAAATCAAAATGATATAAGCATGCTTTTTATATGATTTTCGTACAATCAGATGAACGATCAGATTTGTACAATTTGATTGAGAGTAACACTTAACATCAATTGATTAATTGCTTATTATATGAACACAAAATTGCTGTATCAATATTGATCAAATTTCACATTGACTGAATTTCATCTTTTGATTCTGTTATATCATCTTCCTCTTCTCAAAATTGGTTCGACTGAAAGTTTTGAAATGAGTGCACAATGCCACCGTTTCTTGAAGACTATGTAACATCTAAGGAGTATATTGATTCAGATGTTCGATACCTTTTTGTTGTACTCCTCGTTTTCTGATTAACATTGCTGAATGTTAAAACTGGATGCATATAATTTATCATGAATTTTTAAGATACTTTATTGCTAACATGTTTTTATAAATTAAAAAGTAACTCAATATTTAAGACTGATAACATGATTATTAAATAAATAAGCAACATATAATAGTGCACCAAAGGTACTTGTAACATAATA